ATAATCCTGTTGAGCGTGACTCAATGTCTTCTTTCAAATGACTAAAAGAAATAACAAGTAATCTTGGTAATTTTATTCCTGCCACAGAAAAGCCTGTCAAAAATCTGACTGTCACTGGAGATTAAAAGTCAGACTGATGAAAGCTTCCTGGATAATATCTAATTTATGTTGAAAGGTCATTAATGTCAAACCAAAATAATAGTCTGATCATACTTGGTAAAGTAAGTACATTTATATTCTGTAATTCATATTTTTACTCAATGTGATTTTTCAATGTCTGTCTGTCTAACACTTTTGTCCAGACTGAAATATCTCAATGACTATTGTATGCATTGCCATTATGTGCCGATGTTCATGGTTCCCCCGAGAATGTATTCGAATGACTTTGGTGATCTCCTGAATGTTCCTCTAGCACCGCAATGAGGTTGCAATTTGTGGTTTTAAGTGAAATGTCTCAACAACAATGGGATGGATTGAAATAACTTTGGTGATCCCTCAACTTCTCATCTAATACTGTCATCAGGTAAAACATTGTAAATTATGCAATTCTTGTGGTTTATGCCAAAATAAACTAACCCCATTCTATCAGCCTCAGCAGTACTTTGTGTTTATTGCAAATGATCAAACGGTAGCACAACACTTCTCCACTGGCTTTTCTATTATGTGTAAGCCCCATCTTGTTAATGTCACAGTCATACGGGTCAGACAGAAAACGAAATGTGACATTTTTGTTAACTCTGCTACAATGGAGCTTACATCTTGGGTGAAATAATATTTTAGCTTATGAAATTATTATTAAAAATCACTATTTCATGTGAAATTATTTAATACATTCGGTCTTGTTGACATTTCGAATGACCATGTTGAGTTTTTATTTGTTATTATATATGAATCGCTTGCTACAGACTGATACTAGATGCCTCATCATCATGCAGACTTCCTTGTGTTTTCAGCGTAATGCCCCTCTGTCTGCGTGCGGGACAACAGGGATATTGCCTGCCTGCCTGTTCGCCTTGCTGGTAACATGTTAGCATTCACAAAGCATGACGAGAGCAGCCCTCAACATGACAGACAGGCATTTAAACATGACAGACAGACAGGTGGACTGGCAGACAGAACGTGGAACATGACAGATTAAGTACTATGAGAGACAGACAGGCGGACTGAGGTTTGTGGTTCTGTTTCAGCTGGGTTAGAGGAGAAATGTGTGTGTTTTCCTCATGGAAACAAGCCCGGAGGGAGATGAGGGGAGGGAGAACAGTGGTACTAGTGCATGGTGAGCTTGAGGTATCTGCAGGTTTTTGAAAATTGGAATCTACAGTTGTAAAGCCTTTCTGTGCTGGCTAGAATTGGATGCCAGACCAATTTTAACAGGCAAAAAACTGGAAGCATACTTTTAAAAACTAAGTCAGCATTGTGACCATGATATTACACCTGTTCTATAGGATCATATATGCATTTTAATCAAACTTAATATCACCGACTGTAGAGCTGAATGGGATGGCGAGCCACTGCCATAGCCGCACTTGACGTCACATCATCACGTCATGTTCAGTATTTGTTTTTTAAGCTGTCCTAGAGTGAACAGGCTGAAGAGATTCGACACTGCAGAAATGCTGTCTGAAACGCTGTGCTACTGCTCGGGGTTACAATATTACACGCAGGAGAAAGTCACATAGCCGCCGCCTCACTCGCTCAGGACAAAACTCCTGAATGTTAACACCAGCAGTCTTTAAGCAGAAAATGCCGACTGGCCCGCTAATTATCCCAATTCACCACAGCTGTAGCATTTGTGTCTCACGGCTCGGCATTGTTTCAGTTTAACGAGTGACCCTGTTAACTGGCAACTTTCAGCCGAATTCGTTAACTAACTGATGACTTTTTTTTGGCTCACAGACCCAGGAGGCAGGTGATTAGTACAAGCAGGTACCGCGATTAAACATTATCCTGCTGTACCCCTTACAAAGTCATTTTCAAAAACAACAAAACTGGCGGTGACCCCGAATACCGTGCTGTTGATCCAACTTAAAATCACAGCAGGGGAAAACCGCTTTCACAGTGACATCCCTAATCTACTGGAGTGCAAGTCAGAACTGACACAATAGCGAATGTCGTATTTACATAAATATAAATAGCATTTATTAT